GGTTCCCGTGACTGGATTGAATTGGGCGAGAGAATTTTCCTCAGATGCCATTACGAATAATTGCTCTTAACCTTGCTTTTTTTTTAGTATGCATGTATTTGTATTTTTAATGGCAGACAATCGGCACAGATGTAGGAAAATTCCCTTTACAAATTATTTGGTGCTTGTTACGTTTTTTGACTTTTTTATCCCTTCCCTGCGGTGGATTTTATGTCTTTTTTCATGGCAGATAATCGGCACATATGTAGGATATGATATTTCCATATAAATTACTTTATTTAGGTTGTGATTGGGTGTGACTGGAGGTGGATTATTTACTTTGTTTCTTTTTTTATTGAATAAAATAAGTTAATTTTAAATAAAGTCAATTGACTGAATATATCAAAGTAAAAATCAAAACGATGTGTGAACAAAGGAAAAAAGAGAACTTTAGTTCGTAAGGACCACCGTTGTATACTTAACTTTAGTTCGTAAGGACCACCATTCATCAACGTATGCTGGTTGTATACTTTATAACATAACTGGAATATTGTTTGATTGAGAATTTAAATTTGTATTTAAATATTATTTAAAATACAATGATTAAATTAGTTAATGTTGAAATTTTTGGGATACATAATGACACTTTTAAAATAGTAAACAATTAAAGTCCAATCAAAATGCGAAAACAATTCAAACAAAATTGAACCTTCAAGTGAATATTTCACTCTGCCACAACTTTTTTCATTCAAATAGTGTTTGGTTGAATACAACTAGGAGTTACAGCAAAAACTCCCTCTTCGTAACCTACGTCGTATGCACTTACCTAACTACTTTTGTGCCACTCCTTTGTGGACTCGAATTTCTACATAGATCCCTCTATGTACTTGTGAAAGAGCTCGTCCCAAGCACTTAGATAATGATAAAGGTGTGTGTGAATCAAGTGAGAGTTTTTCGACTCTAATCTTAATCACTCTCTCAAAACAATATAAAAACTAAATCAGAGATTCATCTTGCACCACTCTCTCACACTATACTTAATAGTCATTTTCATTTACACTCAGTGTGCAAGTAAACTAAATGTAAGAAAAGTATGGTAAGTAGGTCCTTTAGTATTTTCAAATATAGTTACTCTTTATTTCCGAAACTATGCATGTGTAATGTGTTCAGAGTCTCTCAATCACGCCTGTGTATCTCCCTCATACATCACATCTCTCTCTCTCTCTCTCTCTCTCTCTCTCTCTCTCTCTCTCTCTCTTCTCTACGTATGGTAAGTCCTCTTTTATCAACGCGCATCTCTCTTCTACACGCATGGTAACTTCTTTTGATCCGTGTCCATAATCAATCTTACTGCAAAGACAGATAAGTCAATTACTCAATAAGCATTTAAAGCAATCAAATAAATAAACAAAATCATGAATACATCCTTTAGTCTTCTCATGAATGTCCTTTATACCTTCAAGAGATTAAATTAATGTATTAATTGGGATTTTGATCCAGTGTCAAACTTCACATTATTACAATCTCCCCATTTAGCGTATAAATCATGTTATGTGATACACACTGTGTAGAATAAACCCGATAAACCAGCTGCTGGGACATATGAGGATCTCGATATGCACAAATCACGGACAAACATTCAACATAAACCTATGCGCAGCGGATCTAAAGGTTTGATGAAAAAAACTTACTGCTTAAAATTTATGTAGATCGGGCTGGCCCGAACAGTTGACCGCAAACCAAATCTTCTCGGAATCGAACAAACTTGACCAATCCGAAAAGCTGACGTCACGGCGAAGTCAACGGCGTTGACCGATCGGAAATCGGGCGATCCACGCGCTCTCACGCGCTAGGTTAGTCTCCAGCAACTGCAACCTTTCGGCGGCGCGTGCGGGCGCGTGCGGCGGCAGCTGGCGGCGATCTCGACGGCGATCTATCCGGCTCGTCATCCTGGTCGTCGTGGTATGGTCACTTGCTGGTTTTGGTCTCCTGTTTGGATGTATGATAGATCTGATTGGAATCCCATATAAACCTTAAGATCTTCTACTGTATTCTCAAACAGCTATCTAGATCTTGTATCAGTGGAGCACAAGAAATAGAACTACTCCTTGGAAGAGAGAGAGAGAGAGGGGGCGGACGAATTCCCAAAGTTGTGGGATTGTTCTCTTCTTCCATGAGTCTAATGTTGTATATATAGAGCTACAGTAGGGACCCTAAGGAGAATAGGATAAGGGCTTCTAATATATTAATACCGTGGAGCAACCGCACAATTAATATATTAATAATATTAAAGTCCACCACAATAATATTATTGCACTCCCCTCACCTATCCCAAATTACATTTGAGACTCCTTATTATAATTATCCGATTTACCTCCCCATGTTTAAGATATAATGTCCATTAATTAATTTGATCACTAATAATCAAGAATCAATTAATATATTATATTACCGAAGCTAGCGCTCGCTCATAGCATTCATATTATGCCGGAATAAATCCACCTGCAGGGTTTAGCATAATATTCTTTCATGAACTCACTTCGGGGACATCATCATACTAACGCACATGGTGAACGTAAGTATCCTAATAGCACATGGAACACATAATGCCATTACCCAATTCATTAAGTATGTCGACCCGGCTTGGATCTCACCCAAAGAATCAAAGCAACAACAATTATGTGCACATGCCTATTTAATATCTTACGGGTTAAGAGCACGCAATAATTAACTGAGGCCTAGTTCGTTTATGACGATAGTATAAAACGAACATCCCTCTCTGGGATCCTGTTCAATACGTAAATGTACTAGTGCAACTAATCGGTCAAGACAAACCGTACGGTTGACACTACAACCGTTCTGATGGGTTGTTCAATTCCATCTAGGTTGTGAACAAATGATTCTTGTTTCGCAAGTTACTGATATAGTGATCTTCGGTACGTCCGATGACGACCCACTTATCTACATGCAAAACAAAAGAACGTGGAACTTATTTAACCAAACATAATTCTCATTCATCAATAAATAACAAGTGTAATATCCA